GGCCCGCGTGCCGCAAAAAAAACCCAAACCCTCAATTTCACCTATTGCCTTGCATGTCTTGAACACTGGTAAATGTCTGTGATCATGTGAGAATAGATTGAAGCTTCTTTTTGTAGCAGTGATGTTTTTCCTTAAATAGTAAAATCACTATGTGAAGACTTTGAAACATGTGCATGAACAGTTGTGGCACCTACTAACCGCTTCCTGTACGTGCTGCACAATAACATCTTTTTGGGTTAATACGAGAAATTTCATTAAAAACAATTTCCAAGTGCTGCACATGGGTTGGAGTACAGGAAGCAACTATAGGGTTAAGAGATGCAATTGACCTTTGTAGACAGGATCCTTATTCCCATAATGGACCAAGTAGATGAGCAGAATTACCTGCAAGATTTCTGAACAGCACCTTACAATCAAGGATATATATCAAGGGTACGTATTGTCTCTACACTTCACCTTCTGGTGTTATAGGAGTGGTATATATTTTTGATAACTGCTATTTCACCAGGGTTAGGTTGTCAGCAAATTGACTCTTAGGTTCAACCCAATAGCTGGCACAGAGGAAGAGGTTCCTAAAGAGGAAAGTTCTGGCACCTGTGTTGCTGCCAACGTGAGCCCAAAGGAAAACTTTGGTTCCCCAGAGGTTTATCAGATGGCTTTCTGGGGGAACCTAGGAGAAGAACTGGGATAAAAAAAGCTAAAGCTTGTGAAATGGGCTCCAGAAATTATGTGACTGTTAGCCTAAAATCAAGAAATAGTTACGTTAAAAAAAACAAACTGCGAATGGAGCAGTGCATGGTGGGAGGTGTGTTCCCAGGCTACTCAGAATCAGGACAGACACGAGCAGGGAACGTTGGTAATCAGAGTTGTATTTGTCTTTCTCCAGCAAACCAGAGAAATAAAAAGTTCGTGAGAAAGATGCCACCTTAGAAGAACAGAGTGACCCATGTGAAACTTGCTTAAAACAGGGAATTAAACTGGAAGTTACACACACGACTTGCACTCCAAGTATAGATATTACTAGTGAGTTCACCCCCATAAAAATGGGTACAAAGTAATTCCCAGGCCAAGTCAGACACTCACCCTGTCTATTACCCTCCGAGGAGGGGTGATGAGAAAACACTCATCCTGGGGCAACGGGGAAAGGAAGTTAGACCACTGGAAAGGCAGTAGCTAAGGAAGCCTCAGAAGCACCACCTCTAAAAATTATCTGCTGCAGGAAATTAAAGAAAACTTGAGGAAAGTTTGATTTCTAAGCAAAGTTAAGAATCATAAAGTTATAGGGAAGGCAATAATCACAGGGGAGGCTGTGACGAAAATTCAGCAGGTTAATATCCAGTCAACATGGTTGACTGAGCTGGCGCAGAAAGATGCCCAGTTTAGGTCTAAATAAAATACTGAATAAAATAACTCAATTTTTTAATTTCAACAACTTTTAATTTACCTGAAAACGAAGGGAAAGAAATACCTAGGACAGAGAAGCAAAAGAGGAAATGGAAGTCATAGGGGTGAGCTGACTGGAGCAGAAAGATTTCATTGGAGTGTTAGAATGGAAAACAAGCCTTAACAGATGTGGCTGGGATTCTGATATCTACTTCCCTGTAGGTCCACATACTACGGGGTTGAGAGTCCATAATTCACAGTTCGCTCCAACTACTTGTATACTGCTGGAAATAAAGACGGGCTGTCCCATTTCTAAAATGGAACTATAAACATTTGCCCTCCAACTGGTTTAGTGGCAGGAGTGAGGTGCTTGCCATCCATAGGAATTCTATTTGGATAAAAAGTCACTGATGAGAAATCCAAGTCCGAGAATTGTGCTAGTCATAAATATGGATTTGGATTTTCAGCTAAGGGAAATAGGAAATCTAAGCTGAGAAATTAACATACATATTGTCTGGTGGTCTAAATATTGATGGGCCAGGGAAAGGCACATGGGACATCATTGTGTAGCTATGCTTCCACAGTCCTGTCACAGGGGCTCATACTAAAAGCAATCCCTGCTGGATGCAAACTATTATATATAGACTGGATAAACAACAAGGTCCTGCTGTATAGCACAGGGAACTATATTCAATATCCTGCGATAAACCATAATGGAAAAGAATATGAGGGACTTCTCTGGTGGCACAATGGTTAAGAATCTGCCTGCCGATGCAGGGACATGGGTTCGAGCCCTGGTCCGGGAAGATCCCACATGCCGCGGAGCAACTAAGCCCGTGCGCCACGACTACTGAGCCTGAGCTCTAGAGCCCGCGAGCCACAACTACTGAGCCTGCGTGCCGCAACTACTGAAGCCCGCACCCTAGAGCCCGTGCTCTGCAACAAGAGAAGCCACTGCAATGAGAAGCCTGTGCACCGCAACGAAGAGTAGCCCCCGCTCACCACTAGAGAAAGCCCGCGCGGAGCAGAGAAGACCCAACACTGCCAAAAATAAATAAACAAAATAAATTAAAAACAGAAAAGAATATGAAAAAGAATACATATATATATGATAACTGAATCATTTTGCTACACAGCAGAAATGAACAAAACATTGTAAATCAACTATACTTGAATAAAATTTTTTAAAAAGCCATCCTTGCTAAAAATTAACTCACAAGAAAAGTCACAAACACCAAAAAAACAAAAACAAAAAAATCACCATGAAGAACAGTCAGCTGACCCAATGCATTGGGTAGACTTGTATCCTAAGAGTAAGAGAAAACAAAGTAAGCTGAAAAACGTCAAGGTTAAGCATAAATGATAGAATTCACACGGCATGAAAAGGAGAGTATGCTTTTTTAAAGTTACTTTAAAAATTTCCTGATATAAATTCTGCAAATGACATAATGAAGTAAAACACACACACAGACGCGCACACACACCGAGGTTTTACAAGACGAAGAAAGATGGGCCAGAAGAACTGTCCCAGGTTGGAGAAGTGCAAGCAGAGGACAACTAAATGTCATGTGGGACTCAGGCTGGAATCCCGGACCAGGAAACGTTCATTCTTAGGAAAACGGAAAAGATCTGTACGAGGTCTACAGTGTAGTTAACACTTTATCAACGTTAGCTTCCTGGTTTCAATAATTATACCATAATTATGAAAGATGCCAAGCTAAGGGGAGAGCGTATGGTAGCTCAGGGTACTACTTTTGCAATTTTCTTGTAAGTCTAACTTGATTTCTAAATGATTTTTTTCAAAAGAAGAGCAGAGGTAGGCGCAGGAGAATTTGAAGAGACCGGCTGGCCTGGACCTTGGAGAGCCCTCCGCTCCAATCCGAGGCACACAGGTTCATACCTGTACGTGGTGAGCAGCCGTGGCAGAGACACGGCGGAATCTGCGCGAGTGAGCGCACGTTGGAGGCGGAGGGGAGAGGCTGGGGGCGCCCAGTCGGGAGGAGGCAGCAGGGAGGGGACGAACTTCGGCGCCAACTGCTCTGTAACCGCTGCCCAGGTCTGCGCGCTGGAGTCGCGGTCCTCGGGTGGGGGGGACAGGGCTCGCGGGCAGCCGGATGGGTGGAAGGAAACGTTGACGCCCTCCGCTTCCCCGCCCATACTGGTATCCATCCTCTGCCTGGTCCTTCAGCGGGACCAGCCGGGGCAGAGGCGGCCTGGCAGCCCGGCGCCCCCTCTCCTCTCCCACCCCCCGCCCCGGTCCTGCGGGGCGCCCCAGGGACTTGGACTTGGCTGAACTCACCCCGCTGAAACTCAGGCCTCGGTAAGGGAGGTGATTTACATCCCCCTTTAGTTCGTGTTCTTGAAACACCCCAATCTAGCAACCACAGGAGGAGCCCACACCCGTTGCTGGATGGAGTCTGCTTGTGGTCACTCCTTTGTTTCACACTAGTGTCCGCTGTCACACACGCAGTCAGATCCGCAGCTAAATGACCCTGACACCCGTGAATGGGGCGTTTGGGCCTCACTGATTTAACAACTGCGGAAAGTTTATGTCTTGGCCCAGAGCACACTAGTGGCCTCGTTCTAAAAATTAAATCTCCTTGGCATGGACCCAAGAAAGATCCATGAGCGTATTCATAGACAACTAACACGTGTGCACACAGAGAGGACACTCCATTGTACTGCAGGCAAACAAAACTCTAAGAAACTGTGACTCCTAACAGTTCTTTTATTTTTAGAAGCTAATGCTTTATTGCCGGTTCAGTCCCAGGAAATCTAGAGTGAAGGACAGTGGGTGCATTACCGAGCTGGCCATAGTTTTGCAAAACGTGCAACTGGTTGCTCATCTTACGGAACACCTTTTTAAAAAAAAATGTTCATTTTTTTATGCAATTTTAAAAGGTTACTTTCTATTTACAGTTATTAAAAAATATTGGCTATATTCCCCGTATTATACAATACATCCTGGAGCCTGTCATACACCCAATAGTTTGTATTCTGGTAACCACTAGTTTGTTCTCGATATTTGTGAGTCTGCTTCTTTTATGTCTTATTTTGCTTCAGAATTATTGGGAGAGAAAGATACTACGGCTGCTGCAAGCATTTACCACAGTGCCCAGCCTGAAGAGTTCTTCAGAGACCCTGGCTTCTCTCTCTCCAGAAGAGGGGAAAGTGCATAATCCAGTATTGCTGAAGGAAAACTTCTGCAGTGCGTAAGATGCTGCTTGAATGAATAAAGAACATTATTTAAATTTCCTTTGACGTGTTTTCTATTTTTCTTCCCCCTTTCATGTGATAGCGGATACATGGCAAGCAAACAGCGAGAAATCCAGTTACAGGTGGGCATGACACATCAACAAGTCTTTACTGGGTGCGTTGTCCCTTGAAGACCTTTGACAGCACCTTCCTTTTTGCAGGAGACCATCAATAATCAAAGCCTGTGGGAGGAGATGTTGCAGAACAAAGGCCTAACAGGTACTGGGGCTCTGCAGGTGTTCGCCATCCGGAGTTGGATCCAGGGCACCTCCAGGCACCCCAACATGGAGCACCACGCCCCACTTACCAGAATAAAAAGCTGCTCTGTTTTTACCCTGCCCCTGCCCCAAAGATTGGGATAAGCTGCTACTCTAGACTCTTTGACTCTGTTCTTTCACAAATATTATTATCTTCTAGTGATCGATGTTTACCAAGCCTGGTGTGGACCTTGCAAAGCAATGCAAACCTTATTCAGAAAATTGAAAAATGAGCTGAACGAAGATGAAATTCTGCATTTTGCTGTAGTAAGGCTTTCATTTCCATTAAACTATTATTTTCTTGTTACTTTATATAGTCTCTTTAAGGATTGTCTTAATTCAAACAATCTGTCAACTCTTCAAAATGGACAGTGTTTAGTTAGCAGTTTTACTCTATATTTAATTCTACTGGATCTGAGAACGAATGTAATTTTTATCCCATTCCTATAATACTGAGGTTATTTACCATGGTTGTGAACGTTAGAAAAACATAAAAATGGTTATCTGTCTATTGCCTTACTTCTTTTCACTTGACCATATGGTGTGTGTTCAGAATAAGGGCTGTAAATGCCTTTTACTGGAAAGCACTGGGTAGGACTCTGGTCATTTACCCAGTTAATTGTAAAATGGTAGCGATTTTACCCTCCCTTATTTGCCTCCCACATGTGACAACGGATTAAAATATTACAGCCAAACTCATTAGGGTCTCATGAGAGACCCATTGGGGTCTCATGAGACCCCAATGTATTGATTATTCAGTTTATCTATGTCAAATTATCAACTGCTTAGAGCTTTGTTGTCTAATATAACCACTAGGCATAAATGGCTTTTGAGCACGCGAACTGTGGCTAGTGTAATTGTATTAAATTTATATAAAAACACAGATACTCCATTCGGTTATTGTAAAACTTTTAAAATTATCTGGGACAACCTGGATATGTGAATCTACCTCTTTGACTGTAAACTTTATGAAATCTAATTAGAGATCAATTATTTATGATTAAAATTTGGCCCACAAATTGAGATGTACTCTAAGTGTAAAATACACACTAGGTTTTGAGGCCTTCATATGAAAAAAGAATGTGAAATATCCCATTAATTTTTTACATCAATGATATGTTAAAATGATCATTTGGGGATATACTGGAAGTATATTATTAGATTATTAGATTATTTTCACCTGTTTTTTAGTTTTTAAATGTGGCTACTAGAGAATTTAAAAGTATATATGTGACTCACATTCTAGTTCTATTGGACAGAAACATGTCCAGACCAGTTCATTTCATTACTATGTCTGTATCACTGGGAAGTGCTAGTAAACCCTTTCCAAAATATGTCCTATTCATAATGCTACCATCTGTTGAAATTAACAACAAAAAATTTTGAGGCTTCTCTCTGAATGGTTCCTCTTCTGTTTGAGCATATCCAACTGTAGTACATTCACATAGATCGATACTATTTTTCTGCTATGATCAGCTCATCAACAGTGAAAAAAATTTTTTAAAGTCTCCAAACCTCTGCTGGGCGCAATGGAGGGGCGCCCTCTGCTGGATACTTTTTTTCCTGCAGTTTATCAGGGAAAGGGATCCTTTCTGAACTTGTAAACTTAAGTCCAAAATTGAAACCTATGAGGTTCATTACCTATTGAAATCACCCTAGGCTGAATGGTCAGTACCAAATTTTTTCTATTATGTGCCCCTTTTAAAAGACTTGAAGACTTGTCCTAACATTATGCCTATACATATAAAAATTCAGTAAATGTTTTATATTATAGTTTTTAAGGAATATTACCAAATGCTTTAATTGTTAACACTTTATTATAATATAAAAATTGCAATGATGATGGTTAGACTACTTTTAAATGTAATCTTTGGCTACTGTCTTTTAATATTATAGATTAGTTCCTTTCAACAATAGAACCTACTTTTTTAAAAAGAGAGAAAGAAAAGAAAGAAAGAAAAGGAGAGAAAGAAAAGAGAATGATGTAGAATTCAATATGCCAAAAAAAGATTACAACACAGCCCCTCTGGCTGGCTGACACAGGGCTGAGGGGCCTTGGCTCGGCTCCGCCCTCACCATCCTTGGCCACAGTTGAGGCACCTCTAGAAATCCCAGTTTGAAAACAATTGCCTTAGGTTCCAAAAAACAACTCTTATGTAGAAGACCCTACAACACAACGTATCCTGACAGCTGGCCCAAGGGATGTTATGTTAATATGCAGGAACATACTATTACTTAATATATAGTTGTTGGTAATCAATTTAGGACAACTTGAAATTTGTGAGAAAACTTTAAAATCAAAGACTTTGAAATCTGACCACCAGTTTATTCAAGAAACATTTAGGAAGCTCCTTTTTATGCATGGCCCTCTGACTGATAAGGTGGGGGGTGACATGCGAGGGTGAGCATAAAACATCATCTCTCTGTGCATGCAGCTCTCCAAACAGAGATGAGCTAGGTCCCTATAACGGTAGTACAATATTGAAAGGAACTATAGGTGCCCGGAGAGAAGGGTAGTGAAGTGCTATGTGGAGGGGAGATGATTTACGGCAGGAGGGTCAAGGCAGAGTTCTTGGAGAACATTCGAGCTGGGTTGGAAAAGGAAGGGCAGGAGCAGGTAACAAGGGGGAAAGTGCAGGTGGTGTAACGCAGACCACAGGAGCTGAGTTTAGCTGCAGGTTGGGTAAAGATGAACAGTGAGAAGTAAGGTTGAAGCCAAATGATGCAGGGTCTGAACTGCCAGAATGTGTAATTTGATTCTAAAGACAGCTATAACATATTCATAAAATGTTGTAGTAAACATAGAAAAAAGTAACTCTGCAGTTTTTGAATATAGTACATCAAATGACTTGAGTGTAGCGTCCTTTATTATTATATGAAATAATCTTTTTCAGGCAGAAGCTGACAGCATTGTGACTTTGCAGCCATTTAGAGATAAATGTGAACCTGTTTTTCTCTTTAGTGTTGTAAGTATATTTATCATCTCAAGTGTATTATCAGATTCCAATTTGCAGCTAAAGAGCAAGTAACATTGTACAACTACTGGAACTGTTTTCTGATGACAGTAACTGTAGACTTTTTTTTGCCTTAAATATGCTTGTCAATTAAAATATTTATAACTTGACCTGTAGGAGCTCATAACGGATTGAGAAGATTAGACTACCACACATTTAGTTGATCAGGGAAAAGAAAAATAAAATGGTATTTACCTTTCCTAGGGAAATATCAGAGACTTGTATGATGAATTATTACTTACAGGAGTGAAAAATTGGAAATGTCTTGGGTACCCAGTGGAAGAGAATTGGTTATAAATATTCACGTATACCAATACGAGGAAATATTTGTATGATCACTATCTTGTATATCGCTTTTATCTCTGTATTTACAAATGCATAGAAAGAAGGCAGGCAGTGTATTCACCAAAAGTTAATAGTAGTTTTCTATGTATGGGGAAAGGATGCATAATTTAAATTTTCTTCTTATACTTTTCAATATTTTCCAAATATTCCAAGATAAACACAACTTTAATAATCAGAAAAACCTTATAAGTGCTGTTTCCTAAAAGAAGAATATCTGGGTAAGTACTAACTTGTGTGATACAGAGCATAGCTGCTACACAGCTGAAGAATTGGGATAGTAAGGAAACACCTCCCATAGAGGGTTTGGACTGTTCTCTTGTTGTTGAAAAGGCATTTTTTGATATTATAAATAATTATTAAAAAAACACTTCTCAGATATAATTTTTGCTTTTGTTAAAACAATAATCTTACAGCTATTTCTGGGAGGTGAATGACTGGGTTAATTGAATTTAAAAAATTACACTGTAGATCTTGCTGTCAGTTGGCTAGGAACTGGCTAGGAAGGATTTGATGATTTATGTGAGGGGTCAGCCAGCTTATTTGTAACGGGCCGGAGAGTAAGTGTTTCAGCTTTGCAGAAATACTATCTCTGTACTGGGATATAGTTTGCTGAGCCCTGGCCTAGGTGTCGTTTAGGTAACTGCACGAGGCAGAAGTGGGCTCGGCGGGCTAATTGGACAACGAGAAGGGTTTAGTAGCAGCAGCAGTTGGGAGCCTGGGACTGAGGAGGGGAGGCTGAGCAGGTGGCCACCATGTAGCGTCTGCAGCTCTGGGGCGGCCATCACCTGCTGAGCGAGTCAGATCTAAGCAGCAGACCCCTGCCCACCCTGAAGACTTTGGCATGTGGCCCAAAATCCTCCTTTCAAACCCACGTGCTGCCATCACTCTGGGACTTCAACATCCTGGCCTCTCGATTCTTCACCTCCTAACTGTCAATGAAATCTCCAACGCACCTCCTCCAGTCACGCCTCAGACTTTGTTATCATCCGTTGCTCCCTGTTCAATGTTCTAATTTAAGAATCTCCATGGGAAATTTAGGCAATATTTTGTAATAACTGCAAATGGAAAGTAACCTTGAAACACTGTATAAAAATTAAAAAAAAAAAAGAATCTCAATCTGTGACCACAAAACCACGTTTGCAGTGGGCAGCATTCTTAGCTGACAGCAAATTCATTGCAGCGTCTCAGCAGGAAGGGCTTTTTCAATGGATATTAGAAAGCTCTTGGCGGTTCCTTTTAGTGGGAAATAGTAAATAGAGTGTCAGGTTTCATTCAAACCTTTCTCAACTGGAGCCTTCTTATGGCCTTTGAATATGATTAAATCTTTCCAATGAAAAGAAATAATACCTCTTTTTGATACCACGTCCCTCTCCAGCTACCATTCGCCTCTATGCTTTACCTCACAGCTAAACTGCTCAGAAGAGTTTCTATATTTACTTCCACTCCATTTCTTCTCATCCCATTAATTCTTCAACCCATTCAATCTAACTTCTTTCTGATTATTCCACCAAATTGGCTGTTGCTAATGTATCCAGTGACCAGCCTGTTGCTAAATCTAATGAATGCTTTTAGGTGCTCATCGTTTTGTACCTCTCAAATGCAGTAAATGTGGTGACCATGCCCTCCTTTTTGGAACATTTTCTTCTTTTGGCTTTTGTGACTTGGTTTTCCTTTTGCTTCCTAGATGCTACTCCCCCTCCCCTTTGCAGGTTCACCTTTGCAGGTTCACCTTTCTTCATGCAGCCATTACATATCAACTTTATCATGCTATATACTCTCCTTAGAAAACTTCTTCGACACACAGTTTCAATCATCGCCTCATATATCAATAACTCAAGTTCATGTCTTCAGCTGAATCCTATACTTTGAGCACGAGACTTGTGTATCCATCTGGGCCCTTGATCTCTCCTCTGGTGTCTCAAGGGCATCTCACAATGAACTGGTCCAACAGCAGACTCCTGGGCTTCCCCATCCCCATTGGAAACGTTATTTTCTAGAGTTGCTTCATTTGGTGAATAACATCTCAACTTACCCAGTTTCTCAAGTCAGAAACAGAAAAGTCATCGTGGTGACTTCTCCTTACCTCACACCCCACGCACACCAGACCTTGGTCCTGTTAATTTAACTACCCAAGTCTTTCTCACACTCGTCTGCTTCTTTCCCTTCTTTCCATCTCCAACAGCACGGCCGTAGACTGAGGAACTGTCTCTTCCATCTTTACCTCTAGAATAGCTTCCGATTTGTATACAAGCAGCTTCTCCTGCTGCACCTCTAACCCTTTCTCCATATGGTAGGTAAGATGATCTTTCCACGGATCTTTAGCAGTTCTAATTGTGGTCGTCCCTGCCTGTGTTTAAACATTCAAAAGGCTGCCCACCGCACTTAGGATAAAGGCAGCATCCTCCCATGGCCCAGAAGGCTCTGCACGCTATGGCTCCCCCTAGCTGTTGGGCTTCGTCTCATACCAGGCATCCCCTCACTTTCTCCACTGGCCTTCTTATTTGCCATATTCCCTTCTAGCCGTAGGACGCTTGTGGCTCTATTCCTTTTGCCTAGAATGCCCTTTCTTCTCCTTTTTATTTCTTAACCTATCCTTCACATTTTAAATTCCTGATATTGACGAAGTACCTTTGCTAATGTTCTTGATCAGAACAAATTCCTATAGATGCTCCCAGCTCTCTGTACCTCTCTTGATGGTACCTGTCATGGTTGTTATCTCAAATGTGTTTGCGGGGTTGGTTTTTTTTTTTTGGTAATTTAATTACATTAGGTACCAGGACTATTATTCCGTACCATCATGCCTGATACAATGCTAGTAAACTGGTGTTTAGTAAATATGTGTTGAAAGACAGACAAAGGGGAGTAGTATCAAAAATAATTAGGGGGAGTAGTGTTGGGAGGCCTGTACAGAACCATTAAAATTTAATGCAGCGATAGCCTGTCTTTGGTTGTAGGAGGACAGATAAATTAGAGGTAGAACTCGAAGAGCTGGATTTACCAAATGGAAATACTTTTCTATCACGAATACTTATTTTAAAATGACTAATTACAGTAGCCAAAAAGGGATTGGTGGGTCAGGGTGGGGTGAGTTAGTCCAGCTGAAGTGTTAATTCTTGACCCATTCTGAAAATGAGTTTCCTTCCCGCTTTTGTTTCCCCTTATAGAATGGCCAAATTGTGGCAAAAATCAAGGGTGCAAATGCACCACTTGTGAGTCAAAAAATTATTACCTTGATCAATGAGGAGAAGAAAATTGCAGCAGGTGAAATGGTTCGACCTCAGGTAATACTTTGGATTCCTGATAATTTTATTTTTAAAAATTAGTTTTAAAAAAAGATGCATTATGTCTTTTTTTGGTTTGTTTTCCTAAAGCATTTCCCCTAGTTTTATAGCTATCTAGGTGTCTAAATGGTGCAACCTTTCTTGGGAAGTATTTTGGCAATATGAATCAAAGGCCTTAAAAAACACATGTATCCTTTGACCGAGCAATTACACTCCAATAATTTTCCTTAAGAAAATAATGAAACAAATCTAGAAAATGATGTTTATTTCAGTGTTGTCTATGTTATTAAAAATTTGGAATTAACCTAAATGCCTAGCAACAGTGAATAGATGACATAAATGCCTGTAATTTATGTCATAAATTATACAAATTCATACAGTGGAATATTATTTAGTATCTTCTAGCTCTGTTTATTGATATGGAAAGAGGGCCAAGATAGACTGACAAATGAAAAATAGAGTATTATTTAATAGGATGCTTAGAATAAGATCCTATGTGTGTGAAATGTATTACCTGTGTAATAATAAAATATTTTAAAATTCAGAAATGAACCATAAAGCATGTAGAGATATGAACATAATAGCATAAGAAAGTAAGCCATATAGGAAAGTGATCAGAAATATAGGCAGATAAATAGGAGTGGTTGGTGTTATTTAAACACACACACATGCACACAAAACAACAAACAACAAAAACAAGAAACAAAAAATAGAGACTAGCTGAGAAATACTGAAGAATAGAAATAATGAGACGGTATAGGCTCAAGCTTTTATTAAGTATTTACTATAAAAAAGCGTCAGTTTAAATCAGGAAAGGATAAAAAACTCACAAAACAAACTTAGTAATATTGGGTTAACTATTTGTACAAGAGATTTGTATTCTTTCCTCATATACATAAACAAATTTCAGATGAATTAAAGAGCTGAATATGTTGAAACAAAGCATGAAAGTATTAGAAGAAAATATTGGAAAACATTTATCTTGTCATAGGTTGAGAAAGGCCTCGTAAGTATAGTATAAGGCAGAGATATCAAAAAAAGAAAAAATTGATAGATTTGATTATTTAAAAGTTTGAATAAAATGTAAAAGGAAAGCAGCAAACTTGGAGAGAAGCTTGCACTGTGTATCAACGTGCTAATATCCATAGTGTGTACAAAGTACTTTAAAAGTATTAAGGAAAAAAAAATGAACATTTTGATGGAAAACTGACAAATGACAAATATGGGGAATTTACATTTACAATAGTGATTTTTCTCACCCAAGGACATTTTTCTGTACATTTTCAGGTTTTCTTGTTTTTCAGGGAATCTTCGCCCTTCCTTTCTCTCCGTCTCCCTTCCTCCCTCCCTCTTCCCACTCCCCCTACTTCTTTTTGAAAATTATAGTAACTAGGAATTATTGTGGACTTACTGTTTGTTAAGATTTTCAGAAAGATATCCTCATTTAATCTTTTACATCCCACTTTTATCGATATCATTGACAACTAACATTTTATTAGTTTAAGGTATACAACATAATGATTTGATATATGTGTATACTGGGAAATGATTACTACACTTAGTTAACATTTCATGTCACATAGTTAATTTTTTTCTGAAAAACTTTTTCATGATAAATTTTAAGATCTACTCTTTTAGCCACTTCCAAAATATACAATACACGTTATTACCTATAGTCACCATGCTGTATATTACACCCCAGAACTTATTTATCTTATAACTGGAAGTTGTATCTTTTGACCTCCTTCACCCAATTCCCCTACTCATCACCCTCCGTCTCTGGCAGCTACCATTCTGTTCTCTGTGCCTATGAGTTATTTTTTCCAGATTCCACATATAAGAGAGATTATGCAGTATTTATCTTTCTCTGACTTATTTCATGTAACATTAATGCCCTCAAGCTCCATCCAGGTTGTCACAAATGGTAAGATTTCCTCCTTTTTTATGGAGGAATAGCATTTCATCATGTATATATATATATATATCATGTATTTATCCATTCATCCATGAATGGACACTTAGATTGTTTCCATATCTTGGCTACTGTAAATAATGGTGCAATGATCATGGGAGGGCAGATAACTTTTTGAGAGAGCGATTTCATAGCTTGTCATAATAGTCTCTTAAGATCCTTTGTGTTTCTGTGGTATCAGTTATAATGTCTCCTCTTTCATTTCCAATTTTATTTATTGGAGTCTTCTCAGTTATAACGTCTCCTCTTTCATTTCCAATTTTATTTATTGGAGTCTTCTCTCTCTTTTTTTTCCCTCACAGTCTAGCTAAAGTTCTGTTTTATTTTTTCAAAAACCAGCTCTTAGTTTCATTGATTTTTTTTCTATTGTCTTTTTAGTCTCTCTTTTATTTATTTCTGCTCTGATCTTTATTTCCTTCATCTGCTGACTTTGGCTTCATTTTTTTTTGTTTGTTTTTTCTAGTGTCTTAAAGTGTAAAGTTAGGTTGTTTATTTGAGATCCTTCTCTTTTCTTAATATAGGCTATGAACTTCACTGTTAGAACACCTTTGTTACATCCCATAAGTTTAGGTATGCTGTAATTCCATTTTCACTCATCTCTAGATGTTTTTTATGTCTCTTTTGATTTCTAATTTGACCCACTGGTTGCTCAGTAGCATGTTATTTAATCTCCACATTGTGAATTTTCCAGTTGTCTTCTTTTAATTGATTTCTAGTTCCAGACCATTGTGGTTAGAAAAGATGCTTGATATGATTTCAATCTACTTAAATGTTTTGTGGCCTAACATATGATCTGTCCTGGAGAACGTTCCATGTGTGCTTGAGAAGAATGTGTATTCTGCTGCTTTTGGATAGAATGTTCGGGATATATCTGTTTAATCCATCTAGTCTAACATGTCCAATGTTTCTTTACTGATTTTCTGTCTGGATGGTTTACCCATTGCTGGTTCTACTGAACCCAGGGACACCAGCCCGGCTGGGGGCCAGAGCCGGGCTATCAAGTGCTGTGTCCTTGGAGTAACAGCCACAAAAGCCAGGGTACCAGATGTGCACACAGGCTATCTTCACAAAGACACTAGTGACCTGGAGCGGGGCAGAGGGAGAGCATGAAGATGGCCCCTGCTGGCTTCCCTGGTCTCTGGAAAGGATTGCTGTCAGCCCTAGACCTGTGTTAAATTAGAAGCCTGACCCTCAGGCTATAGCTTATCAGATTTGCAAATAGGCCCCTGCATTGAGCCCTGGGGGGATAGCCACAGGGAGTCCAGCACAAGCCAAGCCTGTTAAGAGCTCAGTTTACTATAGTCTGGATGCAAGCCCCAGGGCTTTTACAGCCAGGCATCTGGGGGCCCCATCTCTCAGTTAGAAGTCTTAAAACTGAGGTCACTAGATGTTGGGTTCAAGCCCTTCAGTCCTCAGGGAGATGCTGGGAGTTGTGAGTTCCCTCTCAATTGTATGTTGCTGTGCCGGGGATGGAGTTTATGGCGAGACTGTGACTCAGCCTCTCCTACCCGATTCGGTATGTGTTCTTTTCTCATTTGTCTGATATGTAGGAGTCGCTCAGTTGGGAACTGTTCCACAAGCAGCTGTAGGTTTGGTATGTCTGAGGGAGGAAGTGAGTTCAGGAGCCTTCTATGTTGTCATCTCGAATATGAACCTGGAGAAACCCTATGAAGTATTTATGAACGATAAGACAGGCTTAAAAACATTATGTCCTTTCCTTAGAAACAGGCAACTAGTAGGAGGTAAAAGCAGAATTTGAAGTCAGGCAGAACGACTTTTAAACACATTCTTCTAATTGCTATACTGTACCCAGCTTTCTCTACGTGTGCTCTGTACTGTGGCTTTCTTGTTGTTCTTGCAGAATGACATCCTGTTTTAATGAATAATAGTGGGTATGTAAGAAATTTATTCATATCTTATGTTTATTTTATATTACTCCATTTTGTTGGACACTTCTATTATTTAGTTTTCTTATCAATTGCCTTGTCTAGCGCAGTAATAGTAATAAAATACAAGCCACGATGTGAGCCACATACGTAATTTATAATATTCTACTAGTCAACTGAAAACAATAAAAAAAGAAACAGGTGAAATTAATTTTTAAAACATCTTTTCTTACATCCAGTATATTAAAAAGATTGCCATTCAAAGATGTACTCAATATAACTTACAAGCTTTTGCACAGCAAAGGAAACCATAAACAAAACGAAAAGACAACCTATGGACTGGGAGAAAATATTTGCAAATGATGTGACCAGCAAGGGCTTAATTTCCAAAATATACAAACAGCTCCTACAGTTTAATAACAAAAAACAAACAACCCAGTCAAAAAATGGGCAGAAGACCTAAATAGACATTTCTCCAAATAAGACACATAGAGGGCTAACAGGCACCTGAAAAGATGCTCAGCTTTTGGATTACTAGAGAAATGCAAATCAAAACTACAATAAGATACCACCTCACGCTGGACAGAATGGTGATCATTAAAAAAATCTACAAATAATAAATGCTGTTGAGGGTGTGGAGAAAAGGGAACCCTCCTACACTGTTGGTAGGAATGTAAATTGGTACAGCCACTGGGGAAAACAGTATGGAGGTTCCTTAAAAAGAGCTACCACATGATCCAGCACTCCCACTCCTGGGCATATACCCAGACACAACTATAATTCAAAAAGATACATGCACCCCTATGTTCACTGAAGCACTATTTACAATAGCCAAGACATGAAAACAACCTAAATGTCCACTGACAGATGAATGAATAAAGAAGATGTGGTACATATATACAGTGGAATACTACTCAGCCATTAAAAAAGAATGAATTAATGCCATTTGCAGCAACTAGAGATTTTCATACTAAGTGAAGTAAGTCAGAAAGAGAAAGACTAATAGCATATGGTATCACTTATATGTATAACCTAAAATATGACATAAATAAACATATCTACGAAACAAAAACAGACTCACAGACACAGAGAACAGACTTGTGGTTGCCAAGGGGTTGGGGGGAGGGAAGGATTGGGAGCTTGGGATTAGCAGATACAAACTATTATATATAGAATGGATACACAACAAGGTCCCACTGAATAGCACAGAGATCTATACTCAATATCCTATGATAAACCATAATGGAAAAGAATATGAAAAAATAATGTTATATATATATATGTATAACTGAGTCACTTTGATGTACAGCAGAAATTAAACACAACATTGTATATCAACTATACATCAATAAAATGTTTAAAAATATATGTACTCAATGTAAAAAATAAGGTATTCCAGATTTATTTTTTCAAACTAAATCTTTGGAATGTGCTGTGTATTTTTCATTTATAGCGCATCTTAATTTGGACTAACCTCATTTCAGGCGCTCAAATATAGCATTATGTGGTTAGTAGCTGCCCTGTTGGTCAGGGCAGGTCCAATAAATACAAGGCAGGTCACTTTGAAGTTATAGCTGGCATAATTATCTTATTCCTGACTATAATAGGAGTGAATGCTTTCAGTGTAGTTATTTCCAAACATTTTTGGGTCTATATTCCATTGAGAATCTGAAATTCTGCAAATCTCTTGCCCCTGAAATGTATATATGTAAATATATAAACCTTTCAGGTTGTTTACAGAATCACAGAAGCACTTTCAGGACTTCTCCAGAAATTAAGAATCCCCCATCCTTCCTAGTGTTTTACTCTATAGTAGGAAATTGGCTATTGTTTTGAGAAAGGCTTTTTTTTTTTTTTCATAAGTTAAGGAAGTATCTTTCTGTTCCTCCCAACCACTGTGCCACCAGGGAAGCCCTCTGTTCCTCATTTACTAAGAGCAGTGGTCAGGAATGGATCTTGAAGCGTACAAATGCCCTTTCAATCTTTACCATAATAATTATATGTTTATTGCTTTCTTACTTGTTAATCTCTGCTTCTTTCTTATTTTATTCCTTGTGCTCTTAAGTTTTAAATATTTTGTTTTTAAGCATTTTCCATACAGCACATATATGCGTTATTTCTCATTGTCTCCCCACTCTGTTTATTCCTAATTTTATTTTAGTGGGAAGGTTGGGGAAAAGTAGTGTTAGATAAATGCAGGCACATTTCCACTTTACTTTCTATCCCTTGGATTATAAATATTGATTAAAAACAAAATTTCTAAAAACTCTTTCACTATCGTATTAAAATGTAACTGTTTTATTTCCATTCCTTTTCCACAGTATGATGAAATTGTGTTTGTAGACTCAGATTCAGAGGATGCTGGGGAAGCAAGCTATGGAAGTGTTGGTAAGTAAATCTACTTTAAAGTAATAGTGAGGGAAATTGTGTACATGGATACTCATTACAGCATCACTTGCAGCACAAAGCTGGTAGTGACACCAGTGTTAATTGATAAAGGACTGGTAGCATCAATGATGATTTGTGCGATACTGGATTCAGCTTAAAAAGCAATCTCGGGCTTCCCTGGTGGCACAGTGGTTGAGAGTCCGCCTGCCGATGCAGGGGACACGGGTTCGTGCCCCGGTCCGGGAAGATCCCACATGCCGCGGAGCAGCTGGGCCCGTGAGCCATGGCCGCTGAGCCTGCGCTCCGCAACGGGAGAGGCCACAACAGTGAGAGGCCCACGTACCGCAAAAAAAAAAAAAAAAAAAAAGAAGCAATCTCTTTTGCTCCCCTTGCCTTGCCTTTGGTCTCTGTGCCTTGCCTTCAGAGGTTACCCTCGATCAGGGGCTCCTGTGCCCTGTGAGTAATCTGGACAGCAGTTTCCTCTTATTTCATCCTTCATCATCTTCCAGAAACTTGTAAAAATAATTTCTTCCTTGATGACCCACACTCCTGGTTTACTTTAAGATGAACAACTTCCTGCCTTCATTGGATTGTCGGAGTGGGCGTGTTAGTGTGTGTTCATACCCTGGAGGGAACAGAGGCAAACCAGTGAGCTATTCTGCACTAAAAGCTCATCATCAGAATGTGTAGATAAATGTGGATAAATTCATAGATGGTAAAGCCATCGGTTTGTAATGTTTGCTTGCACTGAAACTGTTGTCACTAGTGATACTGAGCTGGATGGATCCTGGGTGCGATTCTAATGCACGTGAATTGTATTAAAATAACTAGTGCCGGGAATTCCCTGGCGGTCCAGTGGTTAGTAGGACTCTGTGCTCTCACTGCTGAGGGCCCGGGTTCAACCCCTGGTTGGGGAACTAAGATCCCACAAGCTGTGTGATGCGGCAATAGAATAGAAAAAGTAGAGTAGAGTAGAATAGAATAGAATAGAATAAAATAGAATAAAATAAAATAAAATAAAATAAAATAAAATAAAATAAAATAAAATA